GTTGTATTAATAAAATCTTGCACTATAGTTCTTTGAAATTTCTATTTTCTTATGATTTTTCAAAGATTTTTTTGTCAATTTTTTCTTTTTTTAGCATATAGCCCAATTAATTTTAGCTAATATTTAGCTAATTTTTACTGTATTTATTATTTTATAATATTGTTAATTTTTAACTAATCAATCTTTAGCATAGATCTAACTTTGAAAATTGAAGAAACTATACAAGCACAAATACGTAACCATTTAGTATTAATCGAATTTATAGATACTTATTGCTAAACACATGCTTATAGTTTTCAGATATATAAATATTTGATATTAGATAGATTTCAAGATTTTAAATATAACTAATTACAATGAAGTTGTTACATCTTTACATATTAATTTTAAAGATAAAAAAATGCAACGATAGTTTCTACTTATATTGTAAGCCAATTTATCTTCTGTTATATGAATTTAGAAATTTGAGCTTTCTCCTAGATCCAATTTCTTCAAAAGGTAATTTTATTTGGTTTAAGACTTGGTTCAGATAATTGTATATTAATAAATTTACAATTAGATAATACAAACTATTATGCAACTTTTCAAGATATTTATAGAACTAAAACTACTGAAGAATATAGACCAACCTATATACAATTACAAGCAAAATCTGAACCAATTCCAAAATCTATTCTAATCGCAGAAAAAATTCAGAATTATGTTAATTGTGAAAATTGCTAAAAATGTTGTTGTGTATATAGCAACAAGTCTTTGACTAATAATGAGCTATGTAACTTTTAGCAAGTATTAGATTCATATTCATATTCGTGTAGTGCAGCAATTTTTTCTGATGACCATCTTTTAAAAGAAGTAATATTTGTATATACACAAATTAGTTGTGATTCTTCTATCGAAATATTATACTATTCAAGTCACAAAATAAGAAATTATCTGATTTGCTACTATTGTAGAAATAGTGATAATTTAATAACTCTACCTGAATCTTTGAAAGAAAGATTTAAATAGATTTATTTGTTGTATAAAGTTTGCCAGAAAAATGAAATAGATTTTTATACAAGAGTGGCAATTAAAACTAATAATAGATCTGCGAAACATTCCAAAAAATAATAATCTTGGAACAATTTTTATTACTTGAAATGTTTAAGTCTCTCTGCCTTAACATTATATATTAACATTTTATATATTAGGTTTTCTAAATTTTGTAAGTAATATCATCTTTATAGATTAGATAAAAAGTATTACAATAGTAGGTAAGTGAAAATAAGGATATATTATTGTATTAAAAGACTTCAATTTAAAGCTACAGAATAAGAGAATGTGATTGAATAGATCCCTTTTATAAATGATTAGATGGCTTATATAACGTTGTAGAACTTCGTTTTAATTCTTATACAAAATTAGGATTCATTTGTTTTATTCTTGATCATTTGACGTTTGATCTTTACAAGTAAAAAACTATCGAATAAAACTTTAAAGATTAGTATGAAATTCTAGTGTAATCATAAGTTTAATTTGCAAAACTATAAACCATAAAAAGTTGATCTGATTATGCTATTTGATTTAAAATTTATCAAAAATTTATATTATATTGAGCGTAGCTATTTAGAAATATAAGGTAAAGGGGTAATACAGTAGGAATGAGTAAAATAGCTAATTAAATAATATCAATATTGAATATAATTGATTTCAAATCCATTACATTTCATAATATCTACGTATATTGATCTTATATAATTCAAATTTTTATTTAAAGCTATCAAGAATTTGCATTTTTAAAATGGTTTGCTCAGTTTTTCTATAATATTGGTATATTAATTCTGCATCACTGATGTTTACAAAAGTATGAAAATAAGTTTTTAGACTGGAGATGATTAAATATTATTCTGTAGCATTCATTTGGTGATTTTATCATATTTACAGAAATATTTATTTTTCAAACATGACATCCAAAGCGATATAATTATAGTAAGTATAAGTGTGATTATTTTATTATATTGGGGTATGGTAGATTACAGGAATCTATTGTTGGTTGAGGTAAAATAAATATGTTAATGATTATGTATTAAGTTTACAAAAACTAGCTAATAAAATTGCAGAATTTTGATTATGTAAAATCGATATATGTGTATTATTTTAACTCTTCCCCTTACTTTATTTGCTATTAATGTTAAGTTAAACAGAAAATTAAATTGGTTTGGCCTTAATAAAAAAAATTGTGTTGTAAAATTTTTATAAGATATGCTGAGTAGTTTATTATGGATCAGGCTTAGTTTAAAATCAAAACCTGACTCAGCCTGTATTTACAAACTTTTTTTTAGTGGACCAGGCTCAGGCTTATTGTTCTGCACAGATCAGATCAGACAGATATTTTTAAAAATCTGGATCTGATCTGAAAAACTAAATCAGATTAAAATTTAGATCTGAATAAAGAAGACTGAATTTGATTTAGATCTGATAAAAATTATTATATACTATCAAAATGCCTTATATTAATAGATTTCATTTTTATTTACTAACGATTAAGGTTAGTTATAATTAAAAGTAAAGTAACTGTTAATAGTATAAATCCATTTTAGATAAAATAAATTACATATTTTTTAAGTTAAATCATTAATAATTTAATAAATTAATATGCTTTTAATAGATATTTTAAACTAATTAAAAACAGTAAAAAAAAATTTAAGTAATGACTGATTTAAATAAGAATTATTAAAAAATTATTTTTTAGATAAATTAATTTCTTCATTTATTTCCAAAATAATGTTCTTAATACATATCTAATTAGTTCAATATAACAGAACTAAGAAGCATTTTTTTTTTATTGCAAGATCAAAATTTAGATTTGATATAATGATTAAAATAAAATAAAATGAGTATGATTTATAAATACTATTTTTTTTAGATGATTTAAGATCTAAAATATAAAATTGTATTAATAAATAATATAAGTATATAAAATAAAATCTTTTCTAGAAAAAATGATCTTTCATATTATTATTTTTTATACAAAGAATATGATTTGTAGAGTTGTTAGCACAAGCCAAATTTTGGTAGCATGTCACTAGCATGCTATTAATTTATATAGTAATTTATTAATACATTTGTTATAGGTTATTAAAATTAGTTTGCACAAACAATCTTAGTTATTTAATTAGCCAAACTCTTAAATACTTTCCTTTTCAAATATTCAAATTATATGCTGTTTTAGTTTGTTTAAATATGCAAATAAAACATTATATTTTCTCATTATGCAATAAAAGTATTATAAAATAAAGCTCTCACAAATCATTAATGCAAATGCATTGTTAAATTTGCAAGTGATTCTTTATATCTGCTTATCATATGCTAAATATTTTTATAGATTCTTAATATAAATATATTATCTAATTTAATTTTTAATAATTTGATTAATTTTGTAAGTGATTCATTATATCTGTACAAATATAACTTTAATAATATAATTTAGTAAAAATTTTTGTATAATTTAATGATATTTAAAGTAAAATTAAATTATATATACATAGTGCACTGACCAAAGTACCCCCTTTTTGCATACCCCCACTCAAAATATCTGGGTACTTTGTATAGTATTTTTTTTTAACCGTGGATAATACCCAGGTATTTTGTATAGAGTTCAGAATGGGCTGGGCCAAACCCGGAAATTTATGGGCCGGGCTGGGTTTGGGTCTAGTTTGGGCTCATATTTTTAGATCCAATATTTTTATAGGCTGGGCTTGAGTTAGGCCCACTAATTACTGGGCTGGGCCTGGGTTTTTTAAGCAAGCCCGGGGTGGCTCAATAATACCCAGTAAAAAATATCAAAAAAAAAAATCATTTGTTTTTAGCAATTTACAAATACTTATCCATTATATTAGGGTGATCATCAAACTAATTACATATAAAATTTATTATGTAAGGATTTTTTACAGATTTTTTTTAACAATTATGAAAGTATCAAACAAATTTTTTTAATAAATTTTACAAAGGTACAGTTTTCAAGCTAAAGACATAAAATTTTTATATTAAATTTTTTTTTAACTTGTAGCTTTTATTTCTTTCTTGTTGATAATAGCCTCGGTTTTACAAAATTCAATCGGCTTATTGTTGTTAAAGTTGGGTAAAGTTTGTTCATTTTGTTGAAGAACTAACTACTTGTATATAGGATAAATCAAAAAAACGCCTCTATTACGTTATTCTAAACGGGTTAATATGTCTTTTGCCAAAAATTTAGCAAGCAATAATTATATTAGTTCAAAAGAAAACAGTACTAAAAGTTACTATCATCCACAGTAATTTCGGATTTTCATAAAAAATTTCCAAATAGTAATTAGTACATATTATGCTACTTATGGTTTGGTTTAGTTTGATGATCACCCTACCGTTACATGTATTCAAGACCAAAATAAGTAATTGTAATAATGATATCAGATATTTCTGTAGTAATGACCAATACTACGGATCACAATCGCTCAGGGTTTATATGATAGAATATGGAATTGGTCATGTGTTATTATATCAGTTAAATCAGTAAACTTTATATATGCAGAGTTAATTATAATTTATACACAATAATGCATAGAAGTATTATAAATTTGTGATATGAGATAGTATAATGTAAAAATAGAAAAGTAAACACTTTTCTCATAAGCAAATAAAGTAATAAAGCACAAACCACATAATCCAAGTAGTGAAGATAAATATGTGATAAAAGTGCTAGCAAGATAGTGAAACAGGTTTCACTCATGCTGCAAGATTTCAAAGCAAGTTGCCACCCATTTGTTATTTAATGACAATATTATATATCAGATATATTGCAGTAGATACTTACTTTAAATAAAAAGTGCATGTAATATGATGCAAAACAATATATCAGATGATAGAGAACCTCGTTCGCAAATGCACGCGAAATCTAAAACCTTATTCTCTCTATATAGAATATCCATACTACAAGTTACTACTGAGAATGATAAATTTAGATTATCTTCAACGGATTAGTTTATTTTTAATTAGATTGCGCAAGATAACTAGCTTAGATAAATTTATTTTTGCACTTGATTAAAGCTATATAAAAAAGCTTTTAGATTTTGCTTCACATGTATTTCGTTGTGAATTGCATAAAGTCTTAGAATTCTTTTTGTTAATTCTTATTGAGAATCTGCTGAGGTGGGATGCTAAATGATTTTGTTTTTTGATTAACATGAAATTGGGATCGATATTAATTTAAAATAATTTTTTTTAGATTATATGGGCTAGGTGCTGGAAAAAGGGCCGAAAATGACAATTTTTTCAAAAGCAATTTTTTTACATAAATCAATTTAAAATAATATTAGAAACATTTTTCTCTTAAAACACAAAGGTAGTTATATTAATAAAATTTTGCAGTATAGCTCTTTAAAGTTTGCATTTTCTTATGATTTATTATAAGATTTATAACATAAAAATTGATTTTCCGAAGATCTTTTTTTTTGTTGATTTCGGCCCTTTTTCCAGCACCTAGCCCATATCATTTGGTGTTCGAATAATAGTTTGGTGATATTTATAGAAATGGATTACAGTACGTTGATAATTAACATATTAAAGAAGCTACGTATTATATATTCTGAATAAGATATTTTATATTTATTTCAGTTAGTGAAACCCCTGAAATAACTGTTGACAATGAAAGCTTTAAAATAACTGAAGATTCTGAAATAATTACCATAAATAAAAATTCAGAAATACCTGAAATAACTACTGTAAATGAAAATTCTGCTATAAATAAAAGTACACAAACAGCTATTACTGATAACAAAAAATGTAAAAAAAATAACCTGAATTCGTAGGTCTTTGAAGAAGGCCATTTCGTTAAAGATCCTCAACAAAGTAAAATTTTTATTATAATATAATTAAATCTATAAACTAGTTAATATTTCTTTTTTATATATAATTTGTTAGTAGATTATGCCAGATGTACATATTGTAATAATTCTCTAAAACATAATAATGATATAGGAACTAGTTCTTTGATTCGACATATGAAAAGAACAAACCGTAAAAAATACTTAAAGGTTGATGAATCACAACAAAAACAAATTTATCAGCATCAGGCCTTATCATTCATAAATTTTCTTAAGAACAAAGTCATAATGACTTTACACAAATGGTTCTTAAACATGGTTATCCATTTAGTATAGCTGAGCATATGGGGTTTCTAACATTCATTAGTAATTTGCAGCCACAGTTCAAGATGGTGAGTGAAAAGACAGTATACGAAAACTGGATGAATATTGTTGAAGAATTTAAAGTAAAAGCCCGTATTATGTTACAAGAAGCACCTGGGCGCCTAAGCTTTACGACAGATTTATGGACATTAAATCAGACTCTTGGTTATATGGTTGTAACATGCCACTTTATTGACAAGGATTGGAAGCTCCAAAACTTAGTTTTAGCCTTCAAATTGGTTCCTGTGCCGCATACAGAAATTGCAATCAGTGAAACTCTTTTTAAGTGCTTTGATGAATGGAATATTATATCAAAAACGTTAGCGATTACCACAAATAATGCTACGAATAATGATACTGCAATGGCCGATTTAAAAGACAAACTTAAAGAACAAGGTGTTCTTGTTAACAATGGAAGTTTATTACGACAATGCTGTTGTGTACATGTACTAAATCTTATAGTTTGTGATGGTCTAAAAAAAATTAAAAGTATTGTAAGTAAGATTAGAGAATGTGTGAAGTGGATAAGTAGCTCGCAAGCCTGACAACAAAACTTCGAGGATGCTGTGTTCGGATGCTGTAATGATCTTGTATATAAACTATGACCAACTCTTGATGTGCCCACTAGATAGAACTCCATATATCTAATACTAACTTCTACTATTCTCTATAAAAATGTGTTTGAACGCCTTTCATTGTGAAATACTGGATTTGGGCAGATTATGCCTGATGATGAAGACTGGAGAAAAGCCAAAATTATTTGTACCTTTTTAAAGCCATTTTACGAAGGTAATTGTATATAATGTTGTTCAATATTTTAATTATATCTGTATCTAAAAAATAATAAAATTTGTTAATAAAGATTCTGTATTCACTAACTAGTAATTTTTTTATATAGTCACGAATATTATATTAGGAAGCAAATATTTGACTGCAAATATTTTTCTTCCTCATTTAATAAAAATTAGGATTCATTTTGAACAAAACGCTACTAATACTGATTCTTTTATTTGTCAAATGGTCACATCTATACAATCTAAATTCAACAAATATTGGGCCGATGTGGAAGATATATACTGCATTGTGTCAATAATGGATCCTTGCTACAAGATGTCATTTCTTACACATATTTATAAACAAAAAAATGCACATCTCATATATTGAAGCTGAAGACAAATTAAACTCTATTAAAATAAAGTAAGTTAGACTATACAAAGTTAATTAATTAATTCTTGTAACCCGCCAGGCCAAATTTTAAAATTTTTATAACCGAATGAGTTTTTAAATAAAAAAAAAGCTTGCCGAGTCTATTTATAAGTTTTATATTATAAGAACTGATAAATTAAATGATAGCCCAATAAGATTTGTTATTTTTGATAATTTGGTAATATTTTTTATTTCTATAGAGCTACAATGATTTTTAAGTCAACCTATTTGCAAGGCATGACTGCTTCTGTTAATAATCGTAATTCTTTTAATACTATGTCTCAAGATGATGAAATTATGAAAGATTTTGATCTTTTTCTTGTAGACAATCAAGCTAATCCTACAAATAAGTTAGACGAATTTGAACAATATCTTGCTGAACCACTTCTCCCTCGTTCTTGTTCTGGGTCATTTGATGTTTTGGTCTGGTGGAAGGAAAATGCTTTAAGATATTCTTCCCTTGCATCAATAGCACAAGATATTCTGATCATCCTAATTACATCAGTAGCTTCCAAAGCAGTAAGTAAAGTTACAGTTGTGTATTAGTTTATAATATAATAAAAGCTAACTCATTATTTTCAGGTATTTAGTGCAGCTAGAAGAATCATTAATGATGATCGATCAAATCTCAGTCCAGAAACTATTGAAACATTAATATG